TGTGCCAATTAATTATTTGGCATATATTTATATTTTAATTGTTTTCTCTATTTTCTCCAAAACTAGGTTTGATGGAATGTAAAAATAATCTATTAAATTTAGGTTACGCTCGAAAACACCGTTAAGAAAACGGTACTCCACTTGTTTTATAGAACACCAATAAGTCACGTGTTATATCCTCAAAAACTAGATTATGTCGTAAATAATATCACAATTACATTGAATAAAATTTCACCCTAAATTAGTCTCACAGAATTAAAATAAATTTCCTATATCATGATAACGCCTGCTGGTCCATGAAATAGGAATCCGAAACTGCATTAAATGTATATTTTTCGCAGGTATCCGTGTTTTCACAAGAACACTCACGAACAGAAGGTTCGAGTGGTAAGCCATTATTACATCAGGTCTTATGACGCTCATAGGACTGGCAGTCTAAATCTGAAAGCTCTGAATGATTGTTTCTTTGATCAGTTTATTTTTCGCGAGTTTTCACGAGAAAGTGAAACAGAAGGTTCGAGTGGTATGCCATTATTACATCAGGTCTTATGACGCTCATAGGACTGGCAGTCTAAATCTAAAAGCTCTAGATGATTGTTTCTTTGATCAGTTTGCATGGAAATTCGAGATGTTTAAAAAATTGGATTAGCGAAACTTCAGCTAACTTTGAGTATTCAGTATCAATAACCCATTAATATGCTTGTCAAATAGATGTTGGGTGTTTCATATTAACATAGCACACATTTCCTCAGTATGCGAATTATGTAGTTCCTCGTTGATCGATCAATATTTCAATATTTTTCCCCGAAGATTTATGTTTGTATTGTATCACTCAAAGCTTCAAAATTATTTACATAACTCAGAAGCCTTGTGAGAAATAGAACGATATACAATCTAGTTACTGTGTTGATACCATTTTTATATCGAACACTGAAAGTTTTAGATCCATCAATCAAACAAGTTACTTCAAAAAAAAGATGTTTTGCTCTTGGTTTAACGCAGTTGAAAATTTGATTCTACCACATCTATCAAGGTAGAATAGAGTTACATAGAGCTATTAATATTAATGTTAATAATAGAGCTATTATTAAGTTATGTTTCACCTCATCGATGTAAGGCTTGAAAATGCTCAAAATTGCATGTCTCAGCTAATCATGGTTTAAGTTTTGTTATCTGATTAAGTTTCTGTTACTATTTACAAAAACAAAAAAAAAACGAGAGGTTAATAACTCCTGGTTTCTAACTTCAGTTGAAAAACTGAATAGTGTAAAGAATCTTTATGAATTAAAAAACTACAAAAGTGAAACATTATTTGGTGCTATTTTTAGGAATTCATACATCTTTAAAGTCATACAAAGTTTTCTTTAAGTAGCTATTTCTATCATCAACACAGAAGCAAGGCAATGCTGTAAATCATCTATACATCGAGCTACATCCATTACAGTCATATACTAACATGCATTATCTGTGTTGTTTGTGCAACTTGCTCTCCTTACAAATGATGAACTGTATATCACTTCCAAAAATATTCGTCGTCGCTGTGCTTGTTTTGTGCAACTTGCTCTCCTTAGAAATGACGAACTGTATATCACTTCCAAAAATATTCGTCGTCGCTGTGCTTGTTTTGTGCAACTTGCTCTCCTCAGAAATGACGAACTGTATATCACTTCCAAAAATATTCGTCGTCGCTGTGCTTGTTTTTAAGCCCATCAACATTTCCACGATTGGTAGCAATATTTGTATAGTGGTGAAGATAAGCTTACCCAGTTTCGTAATGATAATCAAATGTGTATCTGAAGGCAGACGAATGTGCAACTCGAGCACTAAATGTATCCATAACGATGGACTTTGAGGATAGTGTCATAAAATGAACTATGTTTTGCAAAACTGGTACGAGTTTGTTTGTTTGTTTTTAAGCACAAAGCTACACAATGGGTTATCTGTTCTCTGCCTACCACGAGTATCGAAAACAGGTTTCTAGCGTTGTAAGCCCGCAGACATACCACTGTGCCACTGGAGGGCAATTGGTACCAGATCTAACCGATTGAAAATCAGAAGCCTGGTGGTGCCGAGTGAACTAGAAGAAACAAAACTGAATTGTTTATTATTTTCATTTGACTCTGTTTTATCCAAGTGTTTAATTCTTAGAATTTATTATGCGGTGTATATACTATATATAAGTAAAAAAATAATAATTATATACACACGACATTGTCCTAATTCTAATGGGAAAAAAAGCATGTTAGAAATTAAGTTTTTAACTACTATTGATTTCATTAGTTCGCAGAATTCTCAACATATTTCGAGGCGGCACTACCCATTTAAAAATCCTATAATCTTATCGCGACTGAGAAAAATAAAAGCTAACGCAAAATTCTTTATAGTGTGTATTGAGTCATTGCACATCTTATCGATTGTGTATTTGACATAAAATGACTTAACAAATGAGCTTTATTCGAACTAGTATACAGCTGATACGGAGAATATAGTGATTCACTTAAAAAAAAAACGAATAGAACGTTAGCACTTTATCAGAGGAAAATACAAAGGCTGATGGTACTTAGGGCATTTTATATTATTTGTTTATACCCTAATTACTAGATATCATTTCCGTTTTTAATAGCGATTAGAGTACTTTGGCAATAATTTGTTGCTCCAGATATCTTGTTTCAAAATGCGTTTTGGGATGGTGAAATGTGGCCTACAGCGTTTAGAACGTTGTATTAAAAACGATTTTGAATATGCAAATATTGTAAAGATTATAAATATGTAAAGAATGTGTGGCGTTTATCGCTAATGGGATATACCGACGAAAATGTATCGCTTTTTGTAAGTTATATAACTCAAAAATATTCATACACTTAGATCATACAGTTTATGTCGGAGACTTAGAGTTCCAAGTCGGGATATTTCGTATCCATAATGACACTGTGAAACAAAGGAATACGGATCAACTTGGGATACCAGGACCATCCAGCGAGAGATCTGCAACAAGTCTTACCTCAGCCGTGGTAAGGAAAATACACAGAGTTCAGTGGCAAAAGCCATTCTGCGTGACCCAGAAAACAGAACGGAACATAATCAGAGTGATTTCCGTCTGAAAGGAAGGGCAACAGAATATGGGTTCACCAAGATGAGACTTCCACATTATAACTCTCGATCAACCATTGTATACCTGAAGCAGCTGAATAGTAAAACGGATATTCATGGTATTACATATGAAGGCATACTGATTAAATCATCTATGTTTTCTACACGATTCAACCGTTTAATGAAAACTACGCTGCACGGCCATTATCAGAATTTACGGTTACAAGACGTGATGAAATGGGTTGTAACGACGTGGTGAGGCTCCAAAATTATTTCAATAGAACGTATTCACTTTCTATACTTCAAACACATTAATATCTTGAATCAGATATTGCGATCAAATTACAATAAGAAAGTTGAGCAGGTATGTCAACTATAATTACCCTTGTATTCAGAGAGGTATTCTTCTGTCAGTTTAATAAGTAACAGTTCGTTTTGTAGCGAGATACAGAAGTAAGGAACAACTTCATGTGATGTCTAATGAACAAATTAATAAGATCTCAGACGAATACAATGGTTCTTGAATTAATGATGACTGAATGAACAGAAGTATAACAGTGATACGACTGTAATGATATTCTGTCTCTTCTAAATTTCAGATTTTGCGAATACTTTACCCAAGAAGAGATTTCAATGTCTTGTCCAACAGCAACGAATTAAGTTGAAAAAGAGAATAAACCACTGTGGTTAATATATGTATATATAAACACAATCATGGATAAATATATTAGTTTCTTGTGTATATTTTGACAATATTCTACGTTTTCACTAATATACTTGTTCTAGATTAAGTTTTACCTCAATAGTCACTTTTGTGCCCGCGTTTTATTCTACAAAACTAATTATTGTAATAATTATAATTATTCTACAAAACTAATTATTGAGTTAAAAGTATAATTTCCCTTACTGATACGTTTTTTTTTTTTCCTTGGTAAAGATAAAATGTTATACTTGTTAGCAGGTAGATTAGTCTAACGATCCATACGGTTATGACAGATTTAAGTTAACTGTCCTGGCAATTTAAGATAACTAATATTGTATTAATAAGTTATGTGAACTGGAAACACGTTAACAATTGTTATTCTGACTGAGAATCAGTTAAGAAGTTCTAAACGAACACCTAGAATATATAGAGCATCATTAATATCGTTTCGCTTTGAAAAATATTTTGTAGTATAAACTCTGCTCATTGTATGTTATTATGTACACACTTCTAATCGGTCAGCAGTAAATATTTGAGGTAAAAAAATATATATCAAACTAAAACAAGTGTAAAACGTTTTCAGCATAGAAATGGCGACGGGAAAACCATATTAATATAACAAGTTTGAAACAAATTATACATATATCTTTTACGATGCAGCCATTTCGAGTTTTGAACTTCATTACGTTTCCATTCAGCATTCATTGTGTGAAACTACGAGTTGTGACCTTTATGTAAATCGGAGTTGAGGACAGCATGGTATCTTCGCTATGTTATTACGTGGTTAACAGATTTCAAGATATTAATTTTTACAGTTCATATAGGGTACAGTTATAAAAAAAAATGTACAAGTATGAATATGATTCTTTATGGCTATAGAGAAACTGTGGAAAACAAGTCTCCAGTTACATTATATTTCCTCTTTTATATTTAATGAAATGATGTTTTTAAACTTTGTTGATTAAATTAGTTTTCTACCTGCAATACGTTAACAATGAATTTTAAAACCCAACTTTTACAAAATACAGAGAAAAATATCAAACAAAATAGGTCGTGTCTCTCTAATTTCAAAACGGAGCAGCCGATGAAATGTCCCGAAATATATATAATAAGCTAGTATTATTAAAAGAAAATTAACAAATTAAATTAATTAGAAACTACCTGGAGTATCGTCTGTTCAAATTTAATTAAACGAGTTAATTCTCACCTGAAAAAGCTGGCAGTCCTAGGAGGATTAATGTCAAGCTACCTACAAACATTGCTTGAATTTTTGGCATGACTTTGAAAGATATCAGAAGGTGGAGGCTTCACGTGACCAGATTACATCCTCAGTCTTTCACAACCAAGATGTTCTATCGATAGAAAAAACGTGTCTAGAGACATTTGAACAAAATATACATAATCCATTCTCTTGACGTTAAAGTAGTAGTGGTGGTGGTCCGTACATTAGATGTCACGTGTGCGTTGAGCTAGAGGAAGCGGAGAACGCGGGAGAGTTTCTCTGTCGACCACCACTAAGATAGCTTTTGGATTTCTAGAGTTTGAATTGTTCAGCGCCGTCTATACATAATGGTGGAAAAGAAACATATCATTGATCCCCTGGTGTCAAATTACAGCCATGTTTTATGTCTTTTTTTTTTCTTTTCTTATTTGAAAGAACTCACACGAGTGTTGCATTCTTCAACTTGTATATCTTTCTATTTTTCTTGCTTTGTATTTACACCTTTTAACGGTTAAGATTAAGGTAAGAATTGTATATATAAAGAAAGATATATGAAAGCACTAGTAAGCTTGATACCTTTCGTTTGTACTAATTTGTAAAAAAAAAATTAAAACTTGAAAAATAACTCACTTCCTTTAAGTACAAACTTGAATCAGTGAAAACTTTGTTTAACCTGTTTTTACTAAACGAAATACTAGTTCACGTTATATTTAGAAGAATTGCGTTTAATGCTGACATGATCATCTGCCTATATAAAAAGCGTCTATTGTATCCCAGCCGAGCTAAAGAACCCTAGTGTTAAACGAAAGGCCTCGTCGGCACTGGATATAACAGGTATAGCATGGTTGAGATATTATACAATCTTCACCTTCACTCAGAACTTGTTATTAATATATATATATGGTAGCATTAAGAATGTACTATTTATGGAAATTCCTGGTGCTTGTTTGCGTATCGTGAGCTAATTTAACAACATCTATTTATGTTTCGAATAAGTTCAAGGAAACTTTATTTTCTCCTCTTGCTTCCTCGTTTTCTGTAGTAACAAGTTTCTTAAATTGACATTACAGCTGATGAAACACGAACAGGCTAGGTATGAAAGTATCTAAAAGGTGTAGGTTGTTAAGCTTTCATATGTGCTTACCACCGCAGTTATCTAAATCGTTTTGTACGCGCTCTTCTGATGTTTGCAAACATTACGGGCTCATCACAAACTTCGGGTATACAGTCAAGAAACATTAGTAAGCAGTTATATATTTATCTACGGGGTGGGAGTGAATGCGTGTGTGAGTATATTGCACAGAGAGTATGGGGGCATAAACATTATTTTTAAAGAGGTATTTAAACAAGCTATAGATATCTATAGTTGAAACGTATCTTTAGATTTAAAGATGATCCGGAATACAAAACTTAAGTTTTATAAGAAAGATGTTACCAACATTTTATTGTAAAGACAACGATAGACAAAATACACCCAAACAACATGAAACGTTTGAATTACGATCTAGTGTTTGTTTGTTTTGAATTTCGCGCGAAGCTACACGAGGGCTACTGCGCTAGCCGTCCCTAGTTTAGCAGTGAAAGACTAGAGGGAAGGCAACTAGTCATCACCACCCACCGCCAACTCTTAGGCTACTCTTTTACCAACGAACAGTGGGTTTGACCGTCACATTATAACATCCCCACGGCTGAAAGGGCCAGCATGTTTGGTGGGACGGGAATTCCATCCCGCGACCTCAGATTGCGAGTCGAGTGTCCTAATCACCTGACCCTGCCGGGCCACTACCTAGTGTGGTTCGGGAATTAAGAAAGAATAATATACGCAAATGAGAGTGGTTCAGAGTTAAGCCTGAAGGCTTGTGACGCTATAAACCGGGTTTCGATACCCATGGTGTCCACAAGAACAGATAAATCAGTCTTGTGCTTAACAATAAACAAATATAAATGAGATATTGGACTTAAAAACAAACATAACTTTAAGGGAAAATTAATATTCCATTTGAAACAACTACAGCAGCAGCAACAAAACATGAATAAATTTACAAGAAAATACACACTCCGCTAAAACGCGTTATCTCAGCTGCAGGTCTGAGGACTCACTCCGCTAAAAACCAGGATTCGATACTCGTGGTGGGCACAACACAAATAGCAATTCTGTAACTTTCCGTTTAACAATAAGTAAGTAATAGTTTGTCTGTACCTTCAAAATACACCTACTCTTCACTTATTTCATCAGTCTCAAAGTAATTTTTTTAATCACCACATTTTTAGTAAAAACTACACCGAAAAATGAAATGTTATCGTGAACAAAGTACGTGTACACTCTGAAAGAGACTTAAATAGCACTCTTGAGCCTTTTTCACTGTATTTTAGGTCAGGAAGTACAAACATAGTGCGGACATTCCGACAAATTTTCAACTCTTTCGACTGTACAAAGGATAAAAGGTACTTGGCCTTAAAACATAAAGAAAAATAAACGTTTATTACTACCAAGTAGATAATATACGTGTTACAATACCAAAATAATATTTATTCATTAAAATTTATTCATCGTGTAAAACTTTTCAAACATTGACTCTATAGTGTTAGTAATAGCAGGCCTAATTGTAGTTTAATTTAATACATAAACGTAACGTAAGGCTTAGCTGAAAGACTACTTGGTGAATTTTATTTTGCTTTTG